TACGACAAGACGCACGCCGACAAACTAAAGGGGCATTTACATTTATTGACGGTGTGAGTCTTCCAACTGCAACTGTGATCATGAGATGTGCATCACAGGCACTGTCAATGCTCTTAAAGTACTGCATAACGATGTCTGTAGCATGCCTTTGTTGTATCTGGCGATGTTGTTTTTTCATAGAATGCTGTATGTCACATTTATTGCGTATTCTATGCCTATAAACTCATTCATAACCGAGGGCGGCCACTTTTCTGTGGTGTTTTTGATTCATCTAATTGGTTTTTGGGGTTTAAATGACATTTTTATGAAACATTTTGCCACCCAAATATTACACCGCAGAGCCAAATACAGAAAATGCAAAAGAGCGCACGGGAATCGGGCAACGACAAGGCACTAAAACAGGTACAGTACTCAACTAAGGACTTCTCATTATATGTCATACCTACATGTCATGTTCTATGTATATGTCATACCTGCATGTCATGTTCTATGTATATGTCATACCTACATGTCATGTTCTATTTATATGTCATACCTACATGTCATGTTCTATTTATATGTCATACCCACATGTCATGTTCAATTATAAGTTCATATCTGCATGTCATGTTCGTATAAGAAATCCATATCTACATGTCATATTCTAACTAAAACTATATGTAATACCTACATGTCATGTTCTATTTATATGTCATACCTACATGACATGTTCTATTTATATGTCATACCTACATGACATGTTCTATTTATATGTCATACCCACATGCCATGTTCAATTATAAGTTCATACCTGCATGTCATGTTCGTATAAGCAATCCATACCTACATGTCATATTCTAACTATATGTAATACCTACATGCCATGTTCTAATCATATGTAATACCTACATGCCATGTTCTATTATAAGTTCATTCCACACTACAAGTCATGTTCGAGTTCATTATCATTTGGTTCATGACTTAAGCGTGGCGTAGAATGCTAAAGGCGATCGATGTAGGGGCTAAAACCCTAAGCCTCCATCCCCAATGCTAAACCCCAAAACCCTAACCCATCAGGCCGCCTCCCGAAGGAAAAAGATCGAAACACGGTCGGGTGTGGAGAAGAACGCCAAAGGGCATCGGTTTAAGCTCAACCGTGACTTGGCAGGCTATCATCTGACCTTCCGAGAAGGCGTGGACCATGAAGTGGCCGAGGCACCTGTGACACTCAAGCTGCAAGTGGCCGAGCCGTTGGGTTACTATGGCCCAGTACTACAGATGGAAGGGGTGGGTGAAGCGAGGACAGGCATTCTGCAGCACACCTTCGCTTATTGTATTGGTGTTATGTCTTATGCAATGGGGTGTGTTTGTATGTGTTCAATGGGGGGTGTGTATATGTGCTGAATGGAGTGTGTGTGTATATGTGCTGAATGGTGTGTGTGTGTATGTGTTCAATGAGGTGTGTGTATATGGTTGTATTTGTATTGGCAGGGTTTTACAGATGGAATAGGTGAGCGAGGCGAGATAGGGCTCTATAGAACTACATCATCATTAGCAGCAGGAGCTGTAGTATCATTGTTAACCACGTGGTGTCACAGATTACCAGCAGGAGCTGTATTATCATTGTTAACCACGTGGTGTCACAGATTACCGGCATAGTAGAAGCACATGCTCTCTCTCTCTCTCTCTCTCTATCTCTCGCGAGAGCTTTAGGTCGCCCAAGGATAACAATCTTAGGGACATCAACCACGGCCCACCACCGCGAAGGATCAGGCGCAGGCGTGTAGATACCTAAGGAAGACCTAAGGATCCTTACCTAAAGAAAGGTTCCTTCATACACACACATGCGGATTATATACACACTCACACATTCACACACCAAACTCATACATTCACAGACCACACTCACACATTCACACGCGACACTCACATACTCACACACCACACTCTTACATTCACACACCACACTCATACATTCACACATCTCATTGCTCTCTGTTTGTCTGTATCCTCACTTAAGCCACCGGCTTTTCCGGCCACATCTGCCACTGCACTCTGTCACACACATCTGCCACACCACTCTGTCACCCACATCTGCCACTCCACTCGTCACACACACCTGCCACTCCACTCTGTCACACACACCTGCCACACCACTCGTCACACACACCTGCCACTCCACTCTGTCATACACATCTGCCACTCCACTCTGCCACACACACCTGCCACTCCACTCTGTCACCCACATCTGCAGGTGAATTGTGGTTACAAAGGTTTGAGCAAACCGATTGTGAGGAATGTGACGCTGGACGTGCCCTTGAACGCCCGCATAGGCATTGTAGGCGAGAATGGGAGTGGCAAAAGCACTCTGTTCGCAACACTCATGGGCACACTCGACCCAGTGAATAAGGTAAGGCATAAGAGGATGGGCTGTATTTGCCAATGTACTATGTGTGTGACATTATATGTAATAA